TATATATATATATAATGATCCGGGATTCTCTCTCTCACTCTAATTAGCAAGGAGCACAAAAAAGGTGGGTTTTCTTTAGAGAAGTTCAGATTTAATGAGTTAAGGAACCCTTACCCAAATAATTTCAATAGTTAAATATCTTCTCATTTAGATAGAAATAGATTTCCTGCAATCTTGACCTCCTGCTCGTCTGATAAACATTCTATTCTAATTTTAGTACTAGCATTGCTAATATTTAAAACCCTTGGTGTATTTTCTTTTGGCTCATGTTGGCACTTTTAATTCACTGATATAATTCCCATGAGTTTAGGGAAGATATGGTAGATAAAACACTATGTAACTTATGAATATTAAAATCCATATGAAAACTATTTCCATAAATGTTCAGAGAATCTCAGTACATTTCCTCTTCACTATTTTGCTCCTCTTGACTATGATGAGAAATATATCAAGAAATTGTAGCCATGTAATTAAAATAATTTTGAATGTATTAAGACAAATATACACTCAGAAAATTGAGAATACTTTAAATAAAAGAGAAAAATTATCAATATATTTGACAGCCATTCCAATTCATTTATGTAACACAGGTAAGCTTAATAAAATTAGCTCAATGAAAATATCCTAGTATTAGCAGTATATAGGCAATAAAATGAAAATAGATAATCTAAATAGAAGTTTCTTTGAAAATCTACATTTCTTTTCAAGAGTGATTTGGACAGTTATTGTTCTTCGTTGTTTCTATTGAAACTGCTTGGTGCTTTGATCTTGACTTTTGAGAACCAAATTCATTATTTCTGATCTCAGCTTTTCGTCAACTTAAATAGAATAAGTTGGTGTTGATATTTTTTCTGTAAATATGGAGGGTTTTGAAAGATTGGTATGTTTACATTTTATGCTTTTCACAATAATTTATATATATACTAATTTGAAAAGAACATTATAATCTTTCGAATTGGCCTTTCTCATTGATTACAGGTAATATACTCATCTTACAAAATAGCATATGCATTGGTTTATGACAAAGACAGATTAACATCCCAATTCTACTATTCAACAGCTGTATGATCCTCTATATGTTATTAAACTTCTTTCCACATCAGTTTCTTCAAATTTACTATAGAGCTATATAATTTATATCTAAAGTACTCAAGTTTTAACATTGTCCTTCAAATTTGAGGTAATTGTTATCTTATATGAACCTACCTACCTCAAAAGTAGGGATTTCTTTTATTTGTTAGAATAATAAATATTGTATAGGAGAATGTACATGATCTATAAAAATATATAAATAAATTATATAGTTTATTTAAGTTAAGCCTCTGAGTAATTTCCTAAAATAGTATACTCATTGTTAACTTGGGAAAATAAATAAATTTCAGAGATATTGAACAACTTGTCTAGAATTCACAATACAGTAATATTGCCGAGTTACATATTTATTCCTTTCCTCTTTAAGTGCCAAGACCATAAATTGCTCGAATAATCCTCTGAACTTGTCTATGGCTTACTTTTCATGAGAATATTTAAAAAAATCAAAACCATCTTTAAACATAGACATCTGGTTAAAAATTGATATAACAAAATAATTGAAAACTAACAAGTTTTCTTTGAAAACAGTTTTTCATAATACTGATGTAGATTATTATTATTCTCCTTCATTAAGTCTATCAAAACTGATGCTTTAATCTGAATTTTGGAATTGCAATTCATGAATTTCTATTAGGAAAAATTGTAAGGTCACTTTTTTCAGGAGACTAGTTCTGAACTAATAATAAAATCATCCTAAGACAAATTTAACATTAAAAAATCACATCTCATCTTCATAGGAGATGTTTGCATTCAATCAAAATGGACTTTTCATAAATATTAACTGTTCCTGAACACAGGGATGAATGAACCATGCCAGAAAAGAAAAGTTTTATGTAGTTAAGATGAAAATTATTACCACTAGGGATGCAGTTCAGATATGTATGTTATTTTTTTAATTGGTCAAATAAGTCTCTGTGCTCAGTGGGCGGACGGCTGCAGAAAAACTCTTTAAGTAATACACTTGATTCTGCCTCACCAGGCGGCTTTAAAAACACTCCATTCAAAATAGTGATGTCATGGGAGATCAGCTAGGGATAGTTAAATTCAAGCAAAATAGATAAATTCCTAAGGTTATGGTAATTGTCTTTTTGGATTTTGAAGAAATAATCTTGATAAATTATCTCAATAAACACAGAACAATCATGGGTCCTCATGAAAAATTTTTAAAGAAATAAAAATCTTCATTACTGAGAAAAAGGCAAGCAAAGTTTAGCCCATGACAATACTGCACATCTTCCTTTTTGGATGGGAGCAAAAGTTTTCCTATGGAAATTTTATTGAAAAACACTTACTTAGACACCCTACATGTCTGATATTGCCCCTCTGAAATTCTTTTTGTTCTCAAAATTCAATGAACATTTCAAAGGAACATTATTGAAATCTCTTGAGGGTGCTCAAACTGTTGTTTTGACCTGATGTAAATAAAAGGGGGCAGATATCCAGGAAAGAGTTAGCTTAGCTGCAAGGATAGGGAATGTCCAACCTGAGGGCAATTGAAGGCCCACAAAACCATCAATACCAGCTAACATCACTCACCTCAACAAAGAGAAGGGATTTCGGCAATTACAGTAGGTATGCATTAATTAAATGTTTGACTGTTATAGATTGTGAATGATGTTATAAATATCCAAATCCACCTTTTTTTGTCAGATAAAAAAAGGTTCCCCATTCTGGTAGATATATGAAAACACCATCTTTAGAAGTGTATAGATCTAGGACATATGTAACTCCCAAAAAGAGTTAGTCTCAGAAACCCACAGAAGCAGTTCAGTTTGTCCCATGGGTTCATTTTGGGTCAGAGTTGACTTAATGGCAGTGATTCTTCTCAGAATAGTGATTGATAGTGGTTATAAGTGAACATAAAATACAAAATTAAAATGCATCTCAGATCTCTGACAGATTAACTGAATGTGTAAACCTACAATCAAAGTATTGGAGAGAGAGAAAAAGAAGAATTAGCTATTGTGTAGTAATTCTGATAGGACACGTTCATTTGAAAATACATATTTTAAAAACTTTATTTAAGACTTCTTAGAATTATATCTATAGAAATTATAATTCAATTCAATACAAACTAGGGGTTAGTAAGCTAGATTTTCAGTTTCAGGGTAGAATCACTTTAAAACAAACTTACACATAATTTATTAAAGAACAGAATAAAGAAAAACAATCATTGAGGCTCTATATAATAGGTCTTGGATTAAAATTGCTTCTTTAAATTTGACGAGTTGGGAAATATTATCTCTTTTTATTAAGTCATCTTAAAACTTTACTTGAAGTAACAGGTTTTCGAGTCCCTGAAGAAAATTCCCATTTACCTCAATTAATATAAAAAACAATCACAACCACTGCCACTTCATTATCCTGGTTCACAGTGATGCTATAGGACTGAGTAAATGCAACCCCCCAACCCCCCAGGCATTTTTTCTTCAGAAATTTCTCTTTGATGGAAATTTCATTCACAACTGTTAGTATAACCAAGTGCCCGGACACCATCATTCATTGGGATAAAACTATTTCCTTTAATGATTGTATGGCTCAATTTCCCCCCAGCATTATGATACATTATGAATTACAGAATCAAGAATCTAAAATCAAGACGGTGAAATTGGAAAGTTTATTGTAGAAATGTCTCTTATGAAATAAAATAAAATCGTCACTCTTTAAGGAAAACATAAAGAATGGATAATATAATAATGTGCTCATTTGATATATAAAGAAAATGTATGCTTTAGTTTACAAGTCATTCTTATTATTGATATTTAGGAAGGAAAACATAATACTGGATAAAAGTGAAATGCACAAGAGAGGTCAATGAAGGAAATTAGATGGGAGAATTTTCAGGAAGAAAATATTCTGTGGAGAATGATGTTTAATTTTAGGTGTTTTAAAAATGTGGTTCCCTAAGCCCACAAAACTTCAATGTTTTAAATGTGTCTTCTGTCTATTCTTCAATATCTTCGTATGGCCATGCCAATGGTCAGTGAGAAGTAGGAGGTTGGAAAAAGTAACTATGAGTCACCTTTGAAAAGCAGAAATCTGTAAAGATTTAACTCTATAATAACATACATTTTGGAAAAGTAGCTCACCTATTGATTTAGCTTTTATATCTTATGCCTATAAATGGTGTCGAGGCCACAGGATTAGAAAATGAGATATTCTCGAACTTGGATCAATAGCAGGAGGAAGTTTCTAATAAGATGGAAAAACTTCATGTAAGTCTCTAAACATCAACGAGCTGTGCTTATAGTTTAGCTCTTTAAAATTAAGTAGAACCAGGCTTCAAATCTCCATTTTGCCCCTTCAGCACATGTGACTTGGGAAAGGATTTTTACAGAATCCTTTACACTCCTTTTCTCTTCTCTGAAATAAGAAATAATGAAGAAATAAGTTATATAACAGAAATATGGCAAAATTACACAAAATCTTTTAGCTATTATTCAATTGCTTTAAAATTATCCAAAATTAAATACATCCCCAAAGACTGCCATCTATTATATTTTAAACTCATAAAGACAATATTTAGTATTTCCAAGACTGAACTTTTTATGGATGTTTTTTATATTTCTCCTACAGAGCAGCTGGTGGTTTGAACTACTGACCTTGTCAACAATTCTACAATGTTTATGCCACATTGCCATGAGGGTTTCTAAAATTAACTATCATGGCAAATATGTTTGCTCCCACAGTCAAATTCCAATGATGTCCATGGAAAATTCCTCTACTTCAGGTATTCTAGCTGTGCTTTTTCCTGCAGATTTTGAAAGACATTGTAAAGGAAATGAAAAACTACACAGAAGTAACAGAATTTATACTCTCAGGCTTATCCGATGACCCCAAACTTCAGGTCTTTATTTTTGTTTTTCTGTTCATCACCTACATGCTCAGCATCACTGGGAACCTGACCATTATCACCCTGACCCTGTTAGATGCCCACCTCCAGACCCCCATGTATTTCTTCCTCAGACATTTCTCCTTGTTGGAAATTTCATTCACAAGTGTCAGTATACCCAAGTTCCTGGACTCCATTATTTCAGGGGATAAAACTATTTCCTTTAATGATTGTATGGCTCAGTTCTTTTTCTTTATTTTCTTGGGAGTTACAGAGTTTAACCTACTGACTGCCATGTCCTATGACAGGTATGTGGCCATCTGCAAACCCCTGCATTACATGACCATCATGAATCATAGAGTCTGCACACTGCTGGTCTTTGCTTCTTGGTTGGCTTCATTCTCAGTCTTATTCCCCTTAGTTATGCTGTTCCTGCAGCTTGATTACTGTAAGTCCAATGTTATTGAGCATTTCACTTGTGATTATTTCCCCTTATTACGTCTTTCTTGTTCAGACACCAAATTCCTAGAGATAGCAGGTGTTTCCTGCGCTGTGTTTACTCTATTGTTGACTTTGGCATTAATAATTTTGTCATACCTATGTATCATCAGAACAATTTTGAGAATCCCTTCTAAGAGTCAGAGGACAAAGGCCTTTTCCACATGTTCTTCCCACGTGATTGTCATCTCCATCTCCTATACCAGTTGCATTTTTGTGTATATTAATCCATCAGCCAAAGACAGGATGCCTTTGAGCAAGGGAGTAGCTGTGCTCAACATTTCAATAGCCCCCATGCTGAACCCTTTTATATACAGCCTACGGAATCAGCAAGTCAAGAGAGCTTTCATGGATTTGGGAAGGAAGATGGCTATTTTTCTCATGGAAGTGAAAAAATAAAGATGCTAGAATAAATTAATGACATAATGAAAAGCAATTAAATTTAAAAGCCTATTAAAAGCTATGTACCTCCCTAGTTACTTTTTCTTTCTAATACTTTGCGAACAACATGGGTAAGGTTATAACTATATATATATATACACGTATCTATTTGTCTTTTCTCATTCAAAGTTCCATCCTTTGTTCGTGCATTTCTCTTGGGGTAGTCTGTGTATTCTCACAGTTAGAAGAATAATTTTCTTCTCGTCTTCTATTTTTTTCTTTTAATTGACAAGTTCTTTGATAATAATTCTTCAAAATCAAAATAATAAAAAAGAGAGACACAGGGAAGAATAATTGCATTTTTAAAGATTTCTTCAGGAACAGAGTTACAGGGATTCAATAACAATGGTTTAACATTATTTCTAACTGAAAATAAATACTAAACAAAATTTCCCGACAGTCTTATTAGAAATTTTCAGCTATAGTCTTCCAAATCGCATCCCATTAAGGACAATGTGAATAGAAGTTCCACTAAAAGAACAGAGCTTTTGCATTCACTATAGAAATTCAAAAATACATTTTCAATACACAGTTAAAACTTTTCTGTGCCCTGTAATTCAACAATTTCTAAATAGTTACCCATACCTACCTACTTAGTACCTACCTACTAGTCAATTAAACACTATGTATCTCCAAAATAACAACACGAAGAACACATTGTCATAGTCAATTTTGACTCATAGTAACCTTATAGGACAGGGTTGCACTGCCCTGTGCGTTTCTAAGACTGCTATTCTTTAAGGGAATAGAAAGCCTCATCTTTGCACTGCTCACAGTGTGATTGGCAGCGCAATACGTATCCACTATGCCATCCAGGCTCCTTTGTATCAGAACCCCATAAATACTATGTACACAGTACTACTCTTTGAAAAGGAATTCAGTAATGACTTTACTATTTTGTGTGTGAGTGTATGTGAGTCAGTATTAAATTTAATTAAATGTTTGATGATATTTATTTTTTCTATAAATTGAGATATAGGGTATTATAAATTTCATGTGTTTGTTGTTGTTTTGCTATAAGAAGACATGGCATATAATCAATTCATTGGGTTGTTTAATGAAATGACAGGAGCAGTGAATAGGAAGGGAAAAGTAACAAATAAAATTGAGATATATTAATTAAAAAAATCAATTTTCTTTTGAGTTTTGGAAATGAATGAAAGCTTGACGGGACTAGATAAGGGTCTTAGGGTGCATGGAATAAAGTTCTCCAACCAACAAATTTTAGGGTCATCTTTGCTACCCTTAAAGAAGGAGCAGGTGCACTGTTGTGAAGGGGAAAAAAATGTTTGGCACAATTTTTCTTTTCTTTTATCACCCAAAAGAAGCTTTCTACTTTCAGACAGTACTTTCATATTGCCTCTTTATGAGCATCTTGTGCCTTCAAGAAAGTTTATCAAGGCTACCCCTTTGGAATGTGAAATTTAGTCAGTTGCTTACCATGGCCCTTTAACCATAACCCTTTTGTGATGTAGTATGAATTCTAGCCTGTGTGTTTGTGGCTGTCATCCCATTTTGGAAGGAGTTTTCTGTTATGTTAATGGACAGGATTAAGATGGGATTAAGTCTCTACATTAGTAGAGGGTGTGAGCAGAATTGTCACCCTTCAAGTTTCCTTGCATTTATGGTCTGCTGAAGGACAAAACTAACATTCCCATCAAGGCTGTTCCTCTATGTGTAAGAGCCAGACTAGAAGCTGGCAGAGGAAAAGCCCAGGAAAATAAGGAAGAAGCACCACCGGGCAGCCCGTTCAGATCCCTGCAGGAAGTGGTGGAGGTAAGAGTGCGAAGGCACCAGAGCCGGAGGCAAGAAGACTGGGAGAGAACGGAGGACAAGTGCTGAGACTGTATGGCTGGGAAGCTGAGCACTGGAGAGAGCCTTGGCGACTGGCTGAGGAGAGGATTTGCTGTGAACCAATGCCTGTATCCTTACTCTCTACGTCTTCTGACTGGCGGTGGCCTGTTAGCTTCCCTAATAAACTTCCGTAAGCATGAGTAGGGTCTGGGCATCCGCTGTGGCCATTGCAATGAATTACTGAGCCCAGCATCAAAGTAGAAGAGGAATCAATGGTTTCGGAATACATAAGGAAGGATGGAGGACAGGAGCGTGTCTGAGCTCTGTCTAGTGACACTAGGTGCAGTTAGATGATGTCAGACATTACACCCATGACGTTTTTAGACTCTACAACTTTCTGAGCTGATGTCTGAGTCTTATTTTTACTGGCCCGGTAAATCCCCTTGGAAGTTACTGTTTTTATGGGATCTGATCTTTTGAAGACATCTCAATGAGAAGAAGAGGGAATAACTTTGCAGATGCCTACGGAGACCATTTTATTAGGAATAAACCTGTGCACATATATAAACTGGAACAAATTGTAGAGTACTGTGTTAGTCTGGATTGACTAGAGAAACAAATCCAGAGACATTCATATGTTTATAGGAAAGTGCTTTATATAAAGAGAAATTGTACATTAAGAAAACACCCCAGCCCAGTCCAGATAAAGTCCATAAGTCCAATATTAGCCCATATGTCTAATACTAGTCCATAAATTCCTCTTTAGACTCACGCAGCCATGCAATAATGCCAAATGCAGGAAGATCAGAGGCCAGTGGGTGGAAAATCTTGTAGATCCAGTGGCAGTGGAAGCATCTCAGTGCTGGCAGGGGTCTCCATGTGGCTCCTACAGCTCCCGAGACTCTGACTACATCAACTTGGTTCCATATGGCTTGTCACTAGGAATGTCTCACAGGGAGTCAGAGTGTGTCCTGCATCCAGTGTGCTATTTATGACCTGATTGACAGGCTAACCTCCACCCCTTCGTTCTCAAATTGACAAGAGATTATGTAACTACAGAACTAATAAACAGTACTGATAAGTAATGTTTGCCTTTCCCTTTTATTACAGATAAATAATCATAATTGAAGATCTCTCCCCACTTTCAGAGAAGTATGAAACCTGGTAGCTAAGCTTTGTTTTGTTAACTTAAGGGGTAGATACTCATCATCCTTAGCATAACTTAGGGGTAGTTTAATATATCATTATCACACAGGTGTTCTACTAGCTTGTAGTTAAGAGTATATAAGAGAAATCAATATAAATTAAAAATAAAATCTTAAAAGATCTTTAGAAAAGTGTTTAAAACCAAATGCCATTAAAATGATTCTGACTCGTGATGACCCCATGTGTTTTAAAGTAGAATTTTGCTCCATATGGATTTCAATGGCTGTTTTCTTTTTCCTGTTTCGGGGTTGTTGGCTTTTTTTGAAGTAGGTAAGCAGGTGTTCATTCCAAGGTGATTCTAGTTGGCTCAAATCTCCATTCTTTTGGTTAACAAGCAAGTGAGTTAACCATTTTAATATTGCTGGATTGAAGTGATAAGAAGAAATAATAAAGAGGGTAAAAATAAAGAGATATAAAATGATATAGTCAATTCAGAATCTGAGCGTCAGAGAAAAGATGTAGTAACAGGAAATATGTCTATTGTGGGTTTCTCAAGTACAATCATGCCCTCGGTGTTAAATAAACTTTTCCCACTTTTCTTTTAAAACATTGTTATGTACTGCTCACAAATGCATATATGATTATAAAAAGAAAATTACATACTTTATATCTCAATCTATATCTTTATTCGTCTAACAGAAATACTTAATTATTTTGCATGATTGGAATCCATGAGGTAATTTAAGCTGAGTATTGAGACAATATCTGCCTGGTAATCAACTAAAATCAAACAAAAACAAATTTGTTGCTTCCAAGCATTGTGCTGTTGTATTTGTATTTAATTAGTAGTTATTTGTGCGTTCTTAGGTATTCACCATGTGTCTCCTAAGTGTGATAGAAGATATGTGTGTGTGTGTGTGTGTTAGAGTGAGATTTTGTTTATGGTCCATGTAGCTTAGTGGACGGTGGGTTGGCTTAATGTTAGCTCCCATCTGTCATCAATCAGGTGCTCCATGAGCAAGTGCTGGCTCTTACAAAGTGGATGGAGTTTCTAAAAATGCTGATGTGGAATGACAGTGTAGATAAGGTTCCTGGTAAGGAAAAGTACCCTCTACCGTGTGCCTGATCCCAGAAGGAGCTCTTATGGACCACGAGAGCAATGGTGCCAAGGAAACTATTTCAGAAATGTTCTTGCTGGTTCAAATGGTGGCTGGTTCATAATTTCCATGAAGCATTTTCATAATAAGTGCCTGCAGTCTATCTTACTGGTCACAATAAGCCCCACAATCATTCTGTATCTTTGGAGGAAATCTATCAAGATTGCTTTTTTAGTATCCCAGAAAGCAGCGTTCTTACCTTTTTGAGCTGATTCTTCTGCCAAGAACTTAACTGGCCCAACAGATCTTGGAAGCCATTGTTTTAAATGAATTGTTTTAAGGCAGCTTAATAAGACTTTGCCACCACGTGTCTGTAAGTTTGTTGTACTGCGGTGACTTGTATGTGGCTGTGATGCTGACAGCTCTGTCACTCATATTTCAAATGCCAGCAGGGCATTTGAGCCTGTTCATCCACAGTGAACAGGTTTTGGTGGAGCTTCCAGTCTAAGAGCAGCCTCAAAGAAGGAATCAGCTGTCAACTTTCGAGGAAGTAGCCACTGAAAATCTTTTGCATAGCATGAAAACATTGTCTGATATCAAAAGCCTAACGAATGGAAGTAGAACATTGCAGGAGCTAGTGTGGGGCAATGGGCCCCTCTTGTTGGAAGGCACTCGAAATGTGGCCGAGGGAAAGCTGCTTCTCGAAGTAGAGTCAATGGTGGTGGTATGAATAAAGGGTAGCCTGTGGGAGTGGCATCTTCTGGGTCTTCATTTGTGGACGGGGCACAACCCAAGGTAAGAAGAACCAGCTGCAAAAATGTTCTAGTAATTGGAACATATGATGGATCAATGTAGGGATTTTGATAAAGCTCAATTGGCATCGTAGGCATTAGTAAGTGGAAATGGATGGGTATTGGCCAT